AAAAAAAGAGTGATGAACACATGGAATTCACTGCCACAGGAGGGGGTGGCAGCTACAAGCATGGACAGCTTCAAAAGGGAATTGGATAAACATCTGGAGCAGAGGTCCATCAGTGGCTATGAGCCACAAGGTATAGATAGGAACTCTCAGTCTTGGGCAAGTGATGCTCTGTCTACTTGGTGCTTGGGGGGGGGGCAACAGTGGGAGGGCTTCTAGTGTCCTGGCCCCACAGCTGGACCTCCTGATGGCACCTGGTATTTCTGGCCACTGTGTGACAGAGTGTTGGACTGGATGGGCCATTGGCCTGACCCAATATTGGCTTCTTATATGTTCTTATGTTCTTAAATAGTATGTCTACGACAGTGGAGGTCTATGTGGTACAGAGAACCATTCCCTGCATCTTAAGTTATAAAGTATTTATTTTAAAAAAAAATGTTTACAAGCATATTTTAGCACAGCACCAGATTGAGAAAGGGATTCCAAAAGAAATGGGTAAAATGCCAATCCTCTGTCCCTCTTTCTATCAGATATTAAAATAGGACAGGCTCCTAGAGCTTAAGTGAGTTACAAATCTCTACAGAGTTGTCATTACCTGAAGCTCTCTGGGGCAGCACATGGTCAAATGGCTGCCTCCTCCAGTCACCAGTTAAGGATTGTGCCTTTTCTGATGGACCCAGCACAAAAGAGACCTCCTTCCTGCTGTTCTTGAAAAAGAGCAGTTTCTGTCAAGAGCTCTCTCAGCCCTACCTGCCTCACAGGGTGTCTGTTGTGGGGAGAGGAAAGGAAAGGAGTCTGTAAGCCGCTCTGAGACACCTTTGGGTAGTGAAGGGCGGGGTATAAATCCAATCTCTTCTTCTTCTCTTATGTTCTTATGTCTGGGGCAAGTCATGCTCTGCCTTCTTGGTGCTTTGGGGGGGGGGGTCAACAGTGGGAGGGCTTCTGGTGTCCTGACCCCACTGCTGGACCTCCTGATGGCTCCTGGTATTTTTGGCCACTGTGGGACACAGAATGTTGGACTGGATGGGCCATTGGCCTGATCCAACATTGGCCAGTTTGGTGTGGTGGTTAAGTGCGCAAACTCTAATCTGGGAGAACCGGGTTTGATTCCCCACTCCTCCACTTGCACCTGGCTGGATGACCTTGGGCAAGCCACAGTTCTGATAAGAGCTGTTCTTGAAAAAGAGCAGTTTCTGTGAAGAGCTCTCTCAGCCCCACCTACCTCACAGGGTGTCTGTTGTGGGGAGGGGAAGGGAAAGGAGTTTGTAAGCCGCTCTGAGACACCTTTGGGTTGTGAAGGGCGGGGTATAAATCCAATCTCTTCTTCTTTTTCCATAATAATCCCCTACCCTTCCCTGTTAACCTCCCACAGTCAAGATTCTTGTTTTTTAATACGGAAATCTATAAATACATAAAAGGCCCACCCTTTCTCTCCCCTTCAAACAGCAACCAGCATTCTTTGGCTCTGCCTGGAACATTTTAAACCCAACAATGTGGGTCAATGGGGCCGAGTGGATGAATTTGTCTCGCAGGAGGTGAACAACCCTGTATCACTCTTGTAATAATGGGACTTTTTAGCCTCATTAATGCTGTGAGGCATCTGTTAAATTGGGAAGACCATGACTTTGACTAATGGCTAACAATACTGGCCTCATTAAACTGATGGGCAGAAGCTCTGTGTCGAAACCAAAATCCTTCATGGGATGCATGTGTGGAATTCACTGGCAGAGGATGTTATAAGGCCCAGTTTGGTGTAATGGTTAAGTGCGCGGACTCTAATTTGGGAGAACTGAGTTTGATTCTCCACTCCTCCATTTGCAGCTGCTAGATGACCTTGGGCAAGCCGTAGTTCTCTCAGAGCTGTTCTCAAAAGAGCTCTCTCAGCCCCACCTACCTCACAGGGTGTCTGTTGTGGGGAGGGGAGGGGAAAGGAGTTTGTAAGACGCTCTGAGTGACGGGCAGGGTATAAATTCAATCTCTTCTCCTCTTCTTCTTCTTCCCATTAGCTTAGCCAGTTTGGTGTAGTGGTTAAGTGCACGGACTCTAATCTGGGAGAACGGGGTTTGATTCCCCACTCCTCCACTTGCACCTGGCTGGGTGACCTTGGGCAAGCCGTAGCTCTGATAAGAGCTGTCCTTGAAAAAGAGCAGTTTCTGTCAAGAGCTCTCTCAACCCCACCTACCTCACAGGGTGTCTGTTGTGGGAAGGGAAAGGAGTTTGTAAGCCGCTCTGAGATTCCGAGTGAAGGACGGGGTAGAAATCCAATCTCTTCTCTTCTTCTTAAGATGCTTGGTAAGCAGATCAGAAAAATTCATGGAGAAGGAGGTATCTGTCCATGGTTACGAGCGATGGAAATGTAACGGAACCTCTGTGTTCAGAGGCACTCTACCTCTGTATTCCAGACACTGTGGTTAAAACAAACGAACCAGCTGATTCGGGTTGTAGATGTTAAAGGGAACAGCGTTTTTCTGCCTTCAGTCTCTGAGCTTCTCCTTTGCGCTGAACCTCTGCTCCAGACTCATCACATGTCAGTGCGTCATTTAATCTTGCTTATTCCATCCTGTCGAGCCAGCGAAGGGGCTAAGAGAAGAGTTTTGGTGGCTGCCCCAACGATTATGTGTTCGTACATTCCCCGGGACTGCTTCCCAAGTGTGGACATTTCGTGGAAGCCATTCAGGGCCGTTTTCACTGGTTATACCTTTGAAGCCTGGCTGCTTTTAAGGACACAGCAAACTTGTACTGATTTTAGATCCAGGTGGGTAGCCGTGCAGGTTTGAAGCAGCAGAACGAAGTTTGAGTCCAGTGGCACCTTTATGACCAACAGAGTTTCATTCAAGGTAAAAGCTTCCGTTTGCAAGGTAAAAGCTTTCGTTTGCAAAAGTTTGCAAAAGTTTCGTTTGCAAAGTCTGAGTCCAACAAAGTGTTATTCTTTTTTATTATTATTTATTTTCATTTTCCACTGTAACAAAAGTTCATATCATATCACTTTCACTTTCGGTTACAACTTATAATATCCATTACATCTTTCACATTTAACGACTTTTATATCATACTAGCAAAAATTCAGTTTTGATTGATCTTTTTCATCTTCAGCCAGTCATAAAATAATTTCCATCTGTCCCAAAAAAGTTCCTCTGGTTTATTTTGTAGTGTTGTATTTAGCTTATCCATTTCGGCTATTCCCATCACCGTATTTTTAAGTTCTGTTATAGATGGTATTCTTTTGGATTTCCAACGTCTTGCTATCAGGATTCTGGCTGCCGTTAAGATATATATATATCTTAAAGACCAACGAAGTGTTATTCAAGGGTGAAGCTTTTGTGTGCATGGCCACTTCTTCAGATACAGCGAAGCAGGATTTCCTCAACCATTACATATCAAGGAAATTCTGTTTCGCTGTATCTGAAGACGTGTGCATGCAAACGAAAGCTTTTACCTTGAATAAAACTTTGTTGGTTTTAAAGGTGCCCCTGGACTCAGGCTTTGCCTAGTTGCTTCAGGCCAACATGGCTATCCCACCTGGATCTATCTGCAAAACAGGTAAACTTACATTTATTCAAGTAGGTCCAGTTCACATTCAGGTTGCAGTCAAAAGCGGTGAATAAAGCATAATTAAACAGTACTTTCCCTATCGCAAATAGCCAGCTTGTCCAGTATCATGGGTTTGGGAGTACTGCACTTTGGCTCAAGTGGTTAAGACGCTGAACTGTAGGCTGTGGAAGGTCAGTAGTTCAGCAGTTCGAGACCCAGGTGCCGCATGACGGAGTGAGCTCCCGTCTCTAGTTCCAGCTCAGCAGTTCGAAAGCAAGAAACTGCAAGTAGATAAATAGGTACCGCTTCGGTGGGAAGGGAACAGCGTTCCGTGCGCCTTGGTGTTTAGTCATGCTGGCCACGTGACCACGGAAACGTCTTCGGACAGCGCTGGCTCTTCGGCTTTGAAACGGAGATGAGCACCGCAACCCTAGAGTTGGACTCGACTGGCTTTCGAGCAAGGGAGACCTTTACCTTTACCTTTTACAAAGGACCCCGGGAACTGAGAAATACTGAGAATTGTACTATTCCCTGGGGAAAGGGAATATTTCTAAACAGAGGTCATTTCATAGAAAAAGAGGTGCAGGAGCTCATTAGCACAACTCATTAGCATAACTCATTAGCATATGCCACACTCCCTGACATCACCGGAAGTGTGTCAGAAGGCAACACCCACCACTCAGGCTCCGCTGGACTGTTTTGGATTGCTAGCTATCGGGGGAACCGCCCACCCCCAAAATAGGATTTCTCAAAATACAAAATGTGCAATGAGAAGACCTCAGACAACTCAGCCAAGTTTTACCTCAATTTCCTGGAAAGAGCTGTTGATCATTGCGATAAGCATGTTCAATAGAACAATAACCATGGTGACGTTGTAGACACCGTAGAGGACATAACCGATGTTCTCAATGAACTTGTGATTGTAGTTTATGACAACTGATTTAACTTCTGAGAGTCCAAATATTGCCCAGAACAAAGTTTTGAAGCTTTCTTCTACTCTAAAAAAAGAAAAGAAACAATAAGCATGAAAGTAAAAACAGTGGCCAGTTTGGCCAGGGATCCTGGAGGGTTGGGGTTTTTTGCCCTCTTCTGGGCATAGAGCAGGGTTCACTGGGGTGTGTGTGGGGGGGAGGGAGGCATTTGTGGATTTCCTGCCTTGTGCAGGGGGTTGGACTAGATTTCCCTGGAGGTCCCTTGCAGCTCTCTGATTCTGTGATCTCTGGGCTGGGAAATTCCAGGAGATTCAGTGATAGAGCTTGGAAAGGGTGGCATTAGGCTAGGGGCGGCGCCTCAACAGGGTATAAACCCACCGCGTTCACCCTCCAAAGCAGGCCGGGGGAACTGATCTCCGTAGCTAGGAGGCCAGTTGTAATTCTGGGAGAGCTCCAGGCCCCGCCAGGAGGCTGGCGACCCGAGCTCATGCCAACCCGACGACAGCCCCTCCGTAACCTGTTCCCCCCCTTCTCCGTCAGATGGGCACTGCCTGGACCTGGGCCGCAGCGTGATCTGCAAATGCCGCCCCGGTTTCGCCGGCTCCCGCTGTGAACTGAACATCGACGACTGTGCGGGCAACCCGTGTGCCAACGGAGGCACCTGCGTCGACGGCCCCAACAGCTACACCTGCTCCTGCACCCTGGGCTACGGCGGGAAGGACTGCAGCGCCCGCACGGACGCCTGCGGCTCCAGCCCTTGCCTGAACAGCGGCACCTGCTACACGCACTTCTCCGGCCACATCTGCGAGTGTTTGTCCGGCTACATGGGCTCGAACTGCGAGTTCAAAGTCCAGCTTCCCACCCCGGTCAGCAGCCAGCGGGTGGCCGAGGGCCCTTTCCCCACCGCCCTGGCAGTCTCCTTCGCCCTGGGGCTCATGACGTTGGTGCTGGCCGCCTGCGCCGCCGTGGCCGTGCTCCGGCACGCGAGGCAAGGCCGCAAGGCCGTGAAGAGCAGCGTCCGGAACGACCTGGCGACCATCAACAACCTCAAGGAGAGGGAGGGCTTCCTCATCGCCCCCGGCCGGTTCAAGGTGTCGAACAAGGATGGCCGCTTCAACGGCGACCAGTTTAACTGCAAGAGGAAGCTGTTGGATCAGGGCCGCGAGTCCATCTTCAAGAAGAAGCTGGAGAAGTAAGTGGGCGTCCGCTTCCTCTGTCCTGTTTGGGGAGGAGGGGCCTTTTTTCTTTCGCGTCACTAGAAAGCTGGGGTGAAAAGGGTTGCCAGCTTTGGGTTGGGAAACATCTGGAGATTTTGTAGGTGGGACATGGGGAGGGCGGGGTTTGGGGAGGGGAGGGGCCTCAGCAAGGTACAATGGCCAGAGAGGCCAACTTCCAAAGGAGCCATTTTCTCCTGGTGAACTGATCTCTGTCACCTGAAGATCAACTGTAATCCCATTTTCTCCTGGTGAACTGACCTCTGTCACCTGAAGATCAACTGTAATCCCAGATCTCCAGCCACCACCTGGAGGTTGGGAACCCTGAGGGGGAAGAGACTCTAAATAATGGTAAAGGACGGGCCGTGGCATGGGAGACAGACCCCATGGTAAGAAAAGAACTGCTCGTGGTTTCATTTTCTTCTTATGTTCTTACAATGAGCCGATGGGCGGTAGATGCAGGATGTACGAAAGGAAATACTTCTTCACACAGCGAGTGATTAAGATGTGGGGTTCACTGCCGGAGGATGTAGTGACGGCTGCAGGCCAAGATGGCTTTAAAAGGGGACTAGAAAGATTGACGGAGGACAAGTCTATCCGGGGGCTGCTAGCCGTGGTGACTAAAGGGAACCTCCACATCCAGAAGCAGTTAACCTCTGAATCTCAGTGCCAGGAGGAGACAACATTGGGTGAAGGCCTCGGCCTCTCTGCCCTGTTGTTGTACCTCTAGAGGAACTCGTTGGCTGATGGGTGAGACAGGATGCTGGACTAGACGGTCTGATCCAGCAGGGCTCTTCTGATGTTCTTATGAAGGCCTCGGCCTCTCTGCCCTGTTGTTGGACCCTTAGAAGAGCTGGTTGGCCACTGTGTGAGATGGGATGCTGGACTAGGTGGACCTCTGGTCTGGTCCAGCAGGGCTCTTCTGATGTTCTTCTCAGGGGAAGGCCTCGTCCTCTCTGCCCTGTTGTTGGACCCTTAGAAGACCTGGTTGGCCACTGTGTGAGACGGGAGGCTGGACTAGGTGGATCTCTGGTCCGGTCCAGCAGGGCTCTTCTGATGTTCTCATCGGGGGAAGACCTCAGCTTCCATGCCCTGCTGTTGGCCCTCCAGAGGACCTGGTTGGCCACTGTGTGAGACAGGATGCTAGACTAGATGGATCACCGGTCTGACCCAGCAGGGCTCTTCTGAGGTTCTTATGTTTACAAATCGATGCCCAATTATTGTGTTACGGGGCGGTGGATGCACCCTTGGGGTGACTGTCGTGTCAAGAATGCTGAGTTCCTAACAGATCGCAGTGGTGCTGTAGATACCAGCTTTCACCCCCCCGCAGAAATTTGGATGCAATCATAATCTGGCAAAATCTGCGAGAAAACCTGCCTCAGGAGTGACTTTGACTTTGGGTTGCTAACTCCAGGTTGGGAAATTCCTGTAGGTTTGGTGGGAGAGAGACGGGGAAGGGCAGGGCGAGGGGAGGGGAGTGAATTTATCACAGTTAATGCCATACAGTTCCCCCTCCAGAGTAGCTGTGCTCTCCAAGGAAACCCATCTTGGTCGTCTGGGGATCTGCTATAATTCCAGGAGGTCTCCAGGCCCCACCTGGAGATTGGCAAGCCTAGTGAAATCCATCCTTCCTTCCCTTTTGTTTGCATATGTGTTTGTTTTCTTTTTTTCTTTTTCTCCCCCCCCCCCCAATTTCTTTTTTTTTTTTTTTCACAGATTTAGAAACGAAAATAGGAAAGTTTACACTTTCCGAAAGACTGTGAGCCAGCTCACAGTTTTTTAGCCTCCGGCTCACAAGTTTTTGTCTCAGCTCAGGAAGGAGGGCTCCAGAGCCAGCTAATTCATGCAGTAGCCTAATCACTCGCTCCCAACTTTAATGCCAGGAGCTCCCAAAGTAGAATTTTTGCTCACAGGACTCCACAGCTTAGAGGGAGCATTGAACATAGGTAGATATAACGATATACATCAAGAACGAATCGTAATATCAAAATCACTAAACACATTTTGCCCTTATAGATTTGTTATAAAATGTAAGATCAGCAAATACTTTTTAGCAAACTTTCAACTAGACTCAGTGTGATAAGTGTATGTAATATGCTTTTAACTAATTTGTGCGGTGTCTGAGAGTTGATGCAAGTATTCATAGCTAGTCAGGAAGGTGAATAAATTATAGAGCGTGCTTTATGAGTGCAAAAGAGTGAGATACATTGGATTGTATGGTTGGCATTCTGTTTTTAGGATATATTCCAAGAATGGGAGCCATTTCTCATTAAAACTTGACTGTCTAGGTAGGATATATTTCAGATTGTTGCAGTCGGTCAGTGATCTTCTCCATAATGTAGTGGGTCCCAGATTTTATCAAACCAGTTGTTGCAATTTGGGGCATTAGGAGATTTCCATTTGGATGTAGTTAGGTTTTTTGCAGTAACCAAAAGGCAGTGTATGAGATCTTTTTTTTATTTTTGGGATGTTCGCATTTTGCCAATTATCCAGAAAAACTAATTCTGGTGAGCAGGGATCATTTCGTAGAAAAAAAGGTGCAGGAGCTCATTAGCATAACTTATTAGCATATGCCACACCCCCTGACATGACCGGAAGTGTGTCAGAAGGCAACACCCACCGCTCAGGCTCCACTGGACTGTTTTGGATTGCTGGCTATTGGGGGGGGGGGACATGCAAATTTTTCCTGGCAGAGGAGGGAGAGCTTGTACCTGAATAAAACTTGGTCTTAAAGGTGCCACTGGACTGTTTTGGGTTGCTAGCTATTGGGGGGATGGGGACGTGCAGATCTGTCTTCACAGAGGAGGGGGAGCTTGTACCTGAATAAAACTCCCATCCCAGGGAGGGCATATCTAAATACCTCTCTGCTGGTTTTCAGACACTAAACTCTGCTTTTAGGAAAGCATTTGCCTAATTAGAATAATGGTCTTCTTGCGCTTTGGGTGATGTTACATAAAGATACAGAACTGGGGGGGGTTCGAATGCTATTTCATGGCAGTTTATCTTGCTAGTTTTGCTAATTGTTTGATTTTAACTGCTGCTTTTTCTGAATTGATGTTCGTTTTCTTGGAAGCTGTCTCATAGGCTGGTTCGCCACCTGCAGCCATTCCTGGAAAACATCTGGGTAACAACCAAAATTAGATTATCGTTCAGTTCTCCATGTGGGGCTGACTGGAAGAATGTCTGGAAGACGTCTCTCTTGGAAGGTTTTTAGCTGGTTGAGTTCCCAGTTCTGTTGGCGCCATTTTTACTATTAGCGGAAATCGAAAAAAACTGTGACAAAGTAACGCTAATAATATATTAAAGAGTCAAAATTATACAATAATGAAAATGAACAGTAATGAGTCAAAATTGTTCACCTTTTCATTATTGTATAATTTTGACTCTTTAATCTATTATTAGCAGGGCTATTTTTGGGCAGGAACGCACAGGAACGGAGTTCCGGCTGGCTCCTGAGTTGGCCACGCCCGGCAGGAACTCATTAGCATAATAGGCCACACCCAATAGCAGAAACTCATTAGGATTGGCTACATTAGGGGTGTGTGGCCTAACATGCAAAGGAGTTCCTGCTACAAAAAAAGCCCTGGGTTTTGACAACAAGCAAGGTAAACAGAATAAGAAAGGAAAGGTGGGTGTGGCTGGATAACCACACTTCTGGTAACATGGGGGTGTGGCCTAATGTGCTAATGAGTGGTGCTGTCAGGGGTGTGGCCTAATACGCTAATGGGTTTGCTGTTGGGTGTGGCCTATTATGCTAATGAGTTCCTGCTGGGTTTTTTCTACAAAAAGAGCCCTGAATTATTAGCGTTACTTTGTCACAGTTTTTTTTTCAATTTCCGCTTGTCTATTGACTGTGTCCATCCTTTTGACAAATGCCATTTTTACTATTACCAAGGGTTTTCCTGTCCTTTTCCAAATGATCAAAACGTTCAAAGTGATATGAATAGTAGAAGAAGGGGAGCCGACTCTGCTGTACTTGCTGTATTCCAGCGGGTGCAAGCGAGCTATATCTTGTGGACTTTTTAAAATGCTTATGGGTAGACATGCATGGCTGAGACCCTTCACACACCCACTTCACTCTCCCTGTTTTGTATTTATGGGAATCTAAAACATATATGCATACTAGAAAAAAGAAGACAGTATTTTGCAAGTGATAATAGATGTACATTAAGGGGGGTTCTTTTCTGCTGCCACTATCCTAGCATGTGTGAGCATGGGGAATTGCAGACAGGCGATATATTCCGGAAGAGGAATGGTTCCCAAACGGTTTCTGGTCTGTCATTTCAGACAGAACCATTTGAGAACCGATTCCCTTCCGGAATATATTTGTCATTTCATACACAATCGCTTCTGTCCCGTTTAGGAAACGGGGCTGAAGCGTTTTACCTGTCAACCACTTCCAAGTACTCCTCAGTTTCCTCTCCCAGTGCCGATGTGCTTTTTCCCCGCCATTTTTAGCCCGCGTGGCCGATCACCGCCTTTTTTTTTTGAACGTTTGGTTTATAGCATTATAGCGCTATAACGCTATAACGGAATAGCATTATATCAATCCCATTGGAATGCATGGAGTGTTTTGTTATACTGCTATAGCGCTCTAAAAGAAACGTTTAAAAAAAAAGCCGGAGATCGCCCACACGGGCGAAAAACGGCGGGGGGAAAGCGGGAAAAAGTGGTGCAGTCTGAAATGGCAAACCGCTTCAGATCCAGCTCTTTACCGGAAGGGGAAAGCCATGTGTGAAATGGCAACCCTATACCAGTTCACTTCAAAACGGATCATTACCGGCTTGAAACCGGGTGAAACTGGGTAATGTGAAATTCTCCCATTTCTGTTGTCAGGAGCTCTGCCTCTTTTCTCTGTCATGGTCATGGCCTGGCATAGCTGGCAGATAATGCCCTCTTTTTGTTTTTACTTTGTAGTTTTAGGGATCTAAAACATATAGGAATTTAATTTTTTTTCAGATTGACTATAAGATTGCTCTTTT